CGCGCCGAGGGGGTGGGCCCGGCGGGTGGGTCCCGGTGGGCGAGCTGCTCAGTGTTCTCGCGGGCGAGCTCGCGTGCGGACTGACGAGGGCCCGCGCAGGGCAGGGGAGGCCCCCTCCACCACCAGAGCACAGCATGAGCGCAGGGGCGGCGTGAAGCCATGGCCCGGGCCCTCCATGGCGGGGCCCTCCACCGCGCCCGGCCCGAGGCCCCGGGGGACCAGGGCGGCGGGGGGCGGCGACGCAGGCGGGGCCTCCCGGTGGGCAGCTGGCTGTGGCTGGCGGTGGTCATGATGGCCACCTCGGTGGCGAGCAATCACAACCGACCGTCGCCATCGGGCGGCCAGGGCCACGACCCGGAGGGGGTGCAGCCGCCCGCCCCCGCGGCCCCGGTCGGCCCGCCCCCGCCAGGCAACCCACGGCCGGGGCAGCTTCGGCCGCCGGCCGTGGATCCGTACGACGAGGAGGAGGAGCTGGAGGTGCCGCTGGACTGGCCCGTGGACAACAAATCGCACGTGCACCGCTCCAGCAACGAGACCCACGCCAACGTGACCAAGACGCCGCTGTTCCCGCCGGACATTTTCACCATGGAGCAGAAGCGGCACGGCGCCGTGACCCTGCACGTGCTCGGCCTCGTCTACATGTTCGTCGCCCTGGCTGTGGTGTGCGACGAGTTCTTTGTGCCGTCCCTCGACGTCATCATCGAGAAACTGGACATCGCCGACGATGTGGCCGGGGCCACGTTCATGGCCGCCGGTGGCTCGGCTCCAGAGCTCTTCACCTCCGTCATCGGCGTGTTCGTGTCCTTCGACGACGTCGGCATCGGTACCATCGTCGGCTCCGCCGTGTTCAACATCTTGTTCGTGATCGGCATGTGCGCCCTGTTTTCCCGCACCGTCCTGACGCTGACGTGGTGGCCGCTGTTCAGAGACTGCACCTTCTACTCCATCTCGCTCATTGCCCTCATCTACTTCTTCAAGGACAATCTCATCTACTGGTACGAGGCCCTCATCCTGTTCTCGGTGTACATGGCCTACGTCAGCTTCATGAAGTGGAACCAGACGGTGGAGAAGTTCGTGAAGAAGCACCTGTACAAGAACAAGGTGACGCGGGTGCGGAGCACGGACCAGCTCATGCCCTCGGTGAGTCTGATGCCTCATGGCGCCCGCTGCCGCGCCGCTGTTTTTGCCGGCTCCTCTTCTTTTCATCCCCGTCCCGTGAGTGGCGTGCTCACTGTTTGACTCCGTTCAGCCGGACTCCCCTTCGCCTGGCTCCTGAAAGCGTTTACAATCACTGGCGTGCCACTCCTCATTAGGTGCAGAGCGAACCCTGGCATTCGCACCAGCGCTGCCCTTCCAACAGTCTGACTGCCTCGCCGTTGCATAACGTATCGTATTAATAAGAAAATGACAAGCACCGAGCGTCGTATTGCTGGCGCAGCAGTGGGGATGCAACGCCTTTCCTGCTGCGGACCCAGTGCTGTCCAGTCCTCATATTGGAATTTTAGAATACACGGAGCGGAGCCGATCTCCTGCTTGTCGAAGTACGAAAGTCAAGACGACATACTATTGTCCCTAACCACGCTCCAAAAACGTTTAACGCAATAATTCTGACCATTGACCATTTACGCGGAAAATAAGTGGTTGCGTCTCCGCCCTCTTCTCTTGTCCGCTGACCCAGCCGACCCCGAATTCAGGGGGCGTTTCGGTTGATCACTTTTGTCAATATTTGGCACGGCGTGGACCAGATGGTGGCCGGAGGGGTAAGGCGGGGGTGGTAAGTAAAAGAAAACAAGAGCCGACCTCCGCCCCTTCTGTTCTCTAGAGGTCCTCTGTTTTTGGCAAACTCTGGGATGGGACTATGCCATTCTCCGAGGACCGCGGCAGGGAAGGGGTGAAGAGCACTACGCGGTGCGTTTTCGTCACATGTTAGTGTAGCGCTATCAACTCCTCATACATGCTGCACTTGCTCAGAAGTTGCTCAGCTGCGTGCACGTCCTGACAACGAAGGGAATGATGGTTTGCGGTCTATCTTTCTAGCACTACCCCCCCCCCTCCCCTTTACCCTGACATTATCTGTTTGCAACAATCTTAAAGAAGTAAAATATGATGGTTAGGGTTATCTAATATTCCCGCCCCCCCCCTCCCATTTCACCCTGCTTATTTTTGAGTTGCGCCGCGCTTGGTCATGTGAATCGGCTTTCCCCATTCCCTTTTACGCCTCAGTTCATTGCCTGTCTTAAAAAAATCCCGTCGCCATGCCTTTAGTACCTTTTTAAAAGTTCCTTTGTCACGCCTCTCCTTTGTTTTCCTTTTTTCATTCCCTCGCGTAAATTCATTAGTTCTCAGTTTGTATTTAGAAATTAAAATCCAGCGCCTTATCATGAAATAGTACACTCCGTCGTTTGTGCGATGATTTCGAAACAAATGCTGGAACAGAATACGGTCCACTACTGGGAAAACAATGGCGCGATCCTTTTAAGGGGTGCTTATAAACTTGAATGAAGTGTATGAAGTGCTACTGTACCAGTGCATTTGTGATGTAAATCTAGCACCTTTTCGGTGCCATCGCTTCTAGAGATACTCGCTGTACACTCTAAATCTGAAAGGACCTTTTTTGTCGATAGAAAGATGCGTTTTTGTGCACATCTCAACCGGATGCAGATTCGAATCCAGCAAGTGACGAATTAGAAGCATCCTTTTTATGGACAATTATTGTTTTGTCCATCATTAAGATGCTAATTCCTCACTCGTGGGATTCAAATCTGCATCCGGTTGAGAAGTGCAGAAAAAAACTCGAAAAACCTCATCTTTTTGTGGACGAAACAATTCTTCTCAGATTTAGAGTGTACACTTCTGCATTGTGGTGTGCATTATGCCGTATTTTAAGGAGCCACAGTTATACAGAACATTGTGCATGTGCAAACTAAGTAAAAGTTGTACATGACTACGCAAAAATTTGTGCGTAGCTGACAGAGTTGTAGTTATGCAGTGGAAGTCGTGCATTACTTTGACTGCTTAAAACTCTGGAAGTCTTACGCACAACATAACGCGTTAGGGTTTAGTGTGTGGCACCTTTAAAAGCGTGGGGGCCATAGCCTAGAGGTGGGCGAAGGGAAGGCGCCACGCGCACCCGCCACCCAGCCGTCTTCTGTTTTATCTTTTCGCCTAGGCATAAATAATCACCCGGCTATCTTTCTCACTTGTTTTGCCTCGCTTCGGTTCTTCGTCTTCCTGTTCACCTCTCTTCCTCTTTTCTTCACCCCATCTTATCTAGGGAAGACCCGTGTGCAAAACCGAAAACGAGATCAGCAACAAGCAAGGGCCGCGACCGGCCGATTGCACCAAAGAAAAGAGGGGGTAGCACGCTGGCGTTGCGGTGGGTTCAGGGGTGAGTGTGAGTGGAGGGCTGGAAGGGGTGAGCGGGCGGGGTAGAACGGATAGGATGGAATATGACTAATCGCGTGTCAGCTTGCTCCTCTATAAAGGTGTCGCTCTTCCCGGCAAATCCCTCTGGCGGCGGTGGAATCCCCGTGTACCATGCGACCGTGAGGCGTGTTTTTGACACTGCAGGAGGATGAGAAAAAGTTGGGGATAAGCGGAATGTCTACTGGCTGACGTGCCTTGACCAGCCTGTCCATGTTGTGTTTTTTTCCGAGCGTCGAGCGCGTCCAATAATCTATTTAAATAGTCTCTTTGCGCCTTAAATGCTTAGGGTGCTTTTATAGTGGGGCTTAGTCGAGCTTAGTCATGTATAAGTTTTATTGTGCGCTAGCTAAAAGCAATTTAGTGACGTTTAAATGCTTATTTAAGAAGAAATCATAATATCAGTTGTATATGAAACTAGTGTTCTAAACAACCATACTTTGTGTGAATCCATCCACATATTTGTCTCTAAACAGCTAGACACAAGAAAGTTATTTGTACCTAGAAAGCCTATACGATAGGTACGAATCGTCACTTTTCAGATAAAAGTTTGCATTCATTTGAAATGTGCTTTAGAACGCATTCTCGCTGGATATAAAATTGTCCTTTCAGAATGTATTAGCAACGAAATCGTGCACATCTCTTTCTCCTCAACTTTTGCCACGTTTATATTGACGCGTTCTGCTGCTACAACTGGGAACTCTTGCTCAGTGGCTCTTTCCCCCGGCTCCCATCTCACCCCACCCCCTCCATCTTTCCGCTTGCCGTAAATACAGACATAAATGGATGGAACACAAAAAGGAAGCGGCATGGCGCGTAAACTATGAAATGGCAACCATCCGTTTTACCCTCTTTCCCTCACCCTCCAGGACCCTGCTCTACGAGGCAAGATGTTCGTAAAGTGCGCTCCCGCCTCGCGGCCACTACTTTTTAAAAACACATCAAATGCCACATTTTTATCTTCAAAAATTAATCAAAATTAACCAAAAATTCGCATGGCGAATGACTAGGATCCACCACAAGGCTCACAGCTAAACAATTGCCGAAGGAAAATACAATAAAAAGTTTTCGATTAGCCAACATGGTCAACCCAACCGTTCATTTTTCCCGGCGTATCGAGTTCCGATGGGACACGGGGCAGCAACGACACGGCACCCCTGAGAGGGTAGACCCAACACGGCGAACTGATTCTGTTCCCCCTCCCCCATTCTCTTTACTTCGACGAATGGCGACGAATGACGTCTCAGTCCCACCACCAGCTCTCAGGCTAAATGAGTTTTCGATGAATCGGTGGTTTTACTGGGTCACAAAGTGCGCAAACGGTGGCAGGGTATAGTTTGCACTGTTAGATTCCTGCGAAGTATTTTGCTCCTTTGTAACTACGAAGCATTTACTTCGCAATTTCAAAGTGATGCTTTGCAATTACGAAGTGAGACTTTTGCAATTGCAAAGCGATGCTTTGCAGCCGTTTCATTGCTTCGCAGTTGCAAAGCATCACTTTGTAATTGCAAAGTAAATGCTTCGTAGTTACAAAGGAGCAAAATACTTCGCAGCTCTGCAAAGCGAATGCAGGAATTTAATAGTTAATAGTGTGAATATAATTGGATTCAAAAACAACTGGGTAATCTTTTAAAAAGAATCCGTTAAAATCTCGGACCATTTTGCACTTTTTGCCTGGATGTACTTTCAGGATAAATTTCGGCATCAAATTGGTATTATATGCGATTATTTCGAACGGAGCGCCCTGTAGGCCGCATTATGCCTTTATGAGATCTATCAGTTTTATGGAAGGGATATTTATGTTCTTGTCAGGCGGTGCCAAGTGCCCTGACAAGCAGAGTGATCTTTGCAGTACACACTGTAATTCAATTAATGTGACGTCACATTTCTTTACTTGTGAGAACCGAGATGTCCCTTTCATTTGGATGCTACTGTTACATTATTTTGCATGTGACTTAAGAATTTACCGTGCTTGGTCCGGCTGATTCACGTTAAAACGAATGTGACATCACGATTTAACCTATGTGAAAGATTTTACATGACCAATGTGACGTGACATGAATTGAATGGTGTATAATCGAAGGAAAAGACCAGACTTCCTTCTTGCACTAGACTATGTGTATTCGAAAACAGGAAAAATTTTAATTTTAATTTTTTGTTTGTTTCAGGTATGTACTTCGACGAGTTTTGGCTGCGTTGGTAAGATTGAGTGAACCACAGTTTTATTGAGTGCTGCTTTCCACTACATTGTGTTGGTCGCAGTAGAGACGAGGAGAGCAGAATCGTGTTAGTGTGCGTGCGTGTGTGTGTTTTCTCCGTGTGGAAATGTGGATCAATGTCCTCTACTCTGCATTCCAGTTTACGTTTCTTGACATTTGCAGTTACACATGGTAATCGTCCAGTAAGGAATTCACGTTATATTCTGTCTGATAAAAAGTCACTATATCGCGTTTGGTGCGGCGGCGCACCATGGTCCTGGGGAACAAAGCGGTATCACGTAGCTGGATGTACGTATACGTAATGCGGACGGTGTGCTAAAATGAAAGAACATTCACCCAATCATAATAACTTTCGATTTATAACGAATTTTGTTTTCCCCCGCGTGTTTCACATCGATGGGAGCGAGGTTCAAAATAGCAGCCTCGGTTTGGATAAAACGGGTGGTTAGCGTGAGGTGAGTCGTTGGGTTGACACCTTCGACTAGAGTCTGTTTTTACGTTTCCACGTCAGGGATCCGATCAGACGCCTTTAAAACAAACCAACAGGTGTACAGCGTGTATAGGTGCACTGCAAAAACCTCGCCAACAAAATATTGGGAATGCGAATTTTATTCTTTGCAGCTAACAAAGAATTTCTAAGCATTGTGCTGCGAATAATTCTTTGTGAGATTATAAAGAACTGCACTGCAATCCAGTTTGGAACACTTCGATAGATTTGACAGGGTGGCGAGAGTCTTTGGGTTGCGGCTGCCGGGCATCGCGTAGCCAGCACAAATGACGACATTTTAAGGAGGTTGAGTCCTTTTTGAGGACCTCTATTTGAACCTCATGGCTGTAGGTATAGATTTTTTCTGATACGTAACTTTAACATTGTGCCCAATCTTGCATATGCACTCTTACTCCTGCCTCAATTAGGCAAGCCGTAAAAAGTACCCGCAACGGATGAAATCTGTGCAGACTCTAACGCGCGGCTGTGACCGTTGCTCGCAGTCGAGCCCAGCCGCGCTCAGGCTGACGCAGTTGGGCGCAGCCGGGCGCAGCCGGGCGCAGCCGCCGCTCAAGTTCGTGACCTGCAGAAAGCAAGTCGATACTGCGTGTCCAAACGAAGGCAGAACCGAGGGCGGGGCGGGGCCAGCCGTTGGGGTGGCGCGGGGCGGGTGGCAAGCACAGCCCAAGGCGCCGCTGACTTCAAGTCGGTTAAGCCCCGCCAACTTGCCAGTCGGGCGCGCAGCCACGAACTACGTAACGGCGCGCGCAGGAGGGTAGCCGTGGGAGGGAGGGAGGCACTCACTCAGTCCGACCAAGTCTGACCCGCCCGTCAGGGCAGAGCGGCCAGCTGACCTGTTGTTGAAAAAAAGTATGGCAGACTAAAGAAGCAGGTTTATACGCAACGCTGCGCTGGGGTGAAGTCGTGTGGGGAAGAGGTTTGACATCCAGCGCTTTGAAGACAGTCCTCAATCATAACGCAAATCCCCCCCCCCCCCCACTTCCACCCTCTCTCGTCGCTCTCTGTATTAATTGATGATATGAAAAAGATATCCAAGGCTAACGCGTGCACGATAACTCATTTGACGACAGTTGAGCTTTTTCGCGTCAACTAACCCGCCGACACTACCCAACGTTTGCAAACAGGGTTGGCGCGAGAACCGGAAAACGTGTGACGTGGAATATGCGTTGTTTGTAACTAAAGCCAAGGGTCGTCTGTGTATAAAGAAAAACGTCTTCGTAAATGTCATTTTTATAAAGAGCGAGGAGGAGTTGGGGGGGGGGGGGTGATTTGCCTTGGTGGAGCCAGTCTTTGGAACTGTCTAAAAAATCCGCTACGTAATATCAATATAAACGCTTGGGGGCGTGCAGGCTAGCGGTTAAACCAAACTTATTACATGGAGAATCATTTTGTCGTGCATTAATGTGATCATTAATTTATTCGTTTATTACCCACGACGACGACCTTGTGGACCACGTGCTTGTCGCAGTGGAGGGGGCTTGGGGCTGCTGGTCATGGTTCGAAAAAGGATTATGCGGACTGGGGGGAGGGGTGCGCTGGTACTGACAGTTGTTGTGCAGTGATGATGGATGCCGGGGCACCACAAAAGAGCGGAGAGGGGTTGGGGGGTTGATTAGCGAGGGCCGCCACTCGTGTGTGGAGGGTAGGAGGGGTGGGGGTGGGGTGGACATGAGTGTGATATGGAGTACCATAAGCGAGGAGGAGGAGGAGGGGTAGAGACACTATAGGGTCAGTAAAGATCGCGATTCTATTGCAAACTACGTAGTATCGGAAAAGGGTAACTGGTTAAAGATAAGCCTGAAACTTTCGCAAGGCTACCGTTTAAGTCCCATGACAAGTGACAGTTTCGTGTGCCTTCCGCCTTCACCTATAAGTAAAGTGTTAAACGGGCAAGTACTCGCAGGTATTTAAAAACTGTGTTCCATACTAGCAGGTTACGGGCTGGAGATTTGCAAACTACACGCTGCACGCTCCATGCCCGGATTGAGCACCTAACAAATTTAACACTTTTAGGTGCACGCCAGTTGGTCACTTTAGAAATCAGTGCGTGCACCTGGCCTGGCTAAAGTGATGTTTATAAATATTCTCAGAGATTTAGAGTGGGACTCATGCATGTGAAGTTTAGGTGTAGCCAACATCCACCTGGTGATGGTGGGGAAAGATTGGGGAAGTGTGTGTGTGTGTGTGTGTGTGTGTGTGTGTGTGTGTGAGGAGGGGAGGGGGAGCTGTTTGCAAGTGCTGCAGGTTAGGTATCGCGATCCCTACTGGAACACAAAATCAAAATGGGGTTGAAATTCCGTCTTTGGATATTATTCTGATTTCGAAGTCCCTACCTGGGAGGATTAATGACTTAAATCAAAATGACACCACTTTGATATCATTTTGATTTCAGCGCGTTCCTTGTGGACCGGGCACCTCCTACCGCCTGGCTGAAACCAAGCAGTCGGACTGCGTACAGCTACCCTTGATTGCATTGATGATCGACGGGAGTATTGATTGGGTGAATGTTTCTTTGCTGATGCTCTTGCGTTCACTGACTCGTTTAAAGCAGTCTTCTACACATTCCTTTACCTCTTCGTTTGCAACCCTCTTCATTTTTTTCCTATTCATCTCTTCTCCGTCTTCATTTTTACTCCTTCTATACTCTATCGCGCTGCAGCTGCTGTGTGCTCAAGGATTGTCATTTGATGGAAAAAAAAAAAAAAAAAAAAACTTCTGAGTTTAACTTGTTTAAAGTGACATATAACGCAATCTAGTTGACTTCTTGTTTTAATTACCTAATCGATCCACTGGATCGTTTCTGTTTTGTCAAGAGCTTAAGAGCAAGCCCAAGCTCATTACATGTCTTCTTTTCCCTTCCAGCACCAGAGCGCTGCACAGACCTTGGTGAGTCTTTTCTGTCTCTTTCGCATCCCAGCTGCTTTTATTTTATCTATCTTTCCAGATTCCTTCCTCATCCTGATATCCTTTTTAATCCTTTTCTCTGTTTCGTCTTGTTCTTCCTCTTCGCTCTGTACCTGGCACTTCCTACCTATTTCTGTCTTTATCTTTATCTTCTGTTTTGTCTTAATCTCTGTCTTTCTCTGCCTAATCCTATCCTTTCCTATCCTTTTCCTTGTATACACGTTGGTAACAAACTTCGGAGCTAGAATAACACTCACTAACGCTTTGAAGCTTGACACAAATCTTAATTAATTTAGCTTGGATAGTTAGTTATGAGAGGAGTGCCGTAACTTTGATTTGAGCATCTTGTCTTTTATTATTTTCCCAAGTGTCATTCGATAGCCATAGAGTAGCACTGCACAGCGGGAACATGACAAACACGGTTGCAACCTCTGCTGGTACTCGCACAAAAGTACAAATAATTAACGAATACTTTCAATTGTCGGCCTATTACGTCTTCAATTATGCATTTTATCCTTACAAGCTAAATAGAGAACAAACATATAGCAGAGAAGTGCTTATAATGATTGTAAAAGTGCAGTGATGTACATAGTATACAATTTAGGATT